TTGATATGGTATGAGATTTAGGTACCAAACTCAACTCAATAATACTAGACGTGAGGAGATTTATTAAGAAAAATTCAAATCTTATAGTATATATAAGTGGGGTAATTCTCATAAGCCAAGCGTTGAGACTTAACTTTTTGTGTAGCATGTGATGAAACTTGTTATTGAATGTTCCATGACCAACTCTTGATATTGAGATGGATTTGATGAAGCATCTAAATATGTATATCATCAAATTATTTGCAGGTTTCAAGCAACTGGGAAAATTCGGGAAATGGAGAGAAAGGCAAATGAGCTTCTGATGAATGGTGAATGTGGTGAAGGAAATGGCTGGAAAAAGGAGTACCATTTACCTATATTGGCCATGACAGCAGATGTAATTCAAGCAACGTACGAGAAGTGTGTGGAATGTGGAATGGATGGTTACGTTACAAAGCCTTTTGAGGAAGAAAATCTGTATCAAGCAGTTGCAAAGTTTTTCAACCCCAAGCCTACCTCAGACAACTCATTACAGAATGGCAACAGAACTGGGAAAGCACCTTAATTGAATTGGACACACTCTCACTACTGGCATTTTTCATAGTTTGCTAGTGATCTGAATGTGCTTCAACATACAGAAGAAGAGCTTCAGTTGGTTTCAAGACATCTGAGATTATGCAGTATGCATGCAACATTACACACCCATATGCAGTGATCATTTCTATCCACCAGCTGAACATGATTTCAACCCGAAAAGATGTATACCACTACTACCCCAACTAGTGTACAGATCTCCCAAGGGATGAGAAAAATCATGTAAATTCAATATTTTTCTTTGGCATCTCGATACTCCCTATCAGAAGGGTTTCACTATAGTCTCTATTTTTTTAGTTTTGAAATCCTTTTTTTCTGTAAAATTGTCTTGTATAAGATTTGGTTAGTTACTACTATTATTGTTCAGAAGGAAAAAGTTGCCATATGCTTTTTCCTACACTTCCAATTCCTTCCAATGGCGTTTAAATAATTCACTTCATTCACACAATGGAATCATTCATCTCCTATATCAGACTAGTAACTTCAAGAAGCAAACTTGAGAGAGTTTATGTGAGGAAAGAGAAGGAAAAATGCACACGTTCAGCATGGTGATGGTGGTGGTAGCCACGTGGCAACCCCAGAAACAATGTGAAGCAACATTTGTCAACAGCTGGTAGCAAGCATAGTGAGGTGGCAACCTCTCTATATGACATGACATGCATATAGAAAGAATGAGTTAATGTCTGTATCAAGTGCATACATATATAAATTAGGTAGGTAGGTGTGAAAATGGTAGAACTTTGAAGAAATAAAAGAAATGAATATGGAACAGTATCAGAATCAGTACGGTGCTGCTCCTACCAGTAAGGATTCTGTCCAGCGGGAAATGGAGACTACCGGAGACACCACCGGAGTTGGGTTTGGTGGCGGCGGCGGTGGTGGCAGTACACAAGTCATAGCTGAAGATTATGTTACCAGCAACAGCAACAGCAGTGGTGAGAAGCAGCAGAAAGGAATCATAGAGAAAATAAAAGAGAAGCTTCCTGGGACTGGATCACATCAACGCAAGTAGCTCTCACAATCATCAACACTGTAAAATCATGTCATGTTATGTGACAAATGTTACGCATGTTGTCTTTCCTACATAATGCTAAATACGATTATGTCCTTCCTTCTCTCACCAAATTAATAAAACTACTTCTGTTTTATGTTCTGTTCTGTTCTGGTTCATTAATCTTTATGGTAACCTGATTAAGTAATGTAACAGTTATATTAATCACTTAATAATTACATTACACAGTTAAATGAATGTTTAGTAGATCATAAAAATTTTGTTGAGATTATTGAGTACAGACTATAAGATTAAAGCTTTTTATCTTTATTTATTAGGTACCTAAACTTTAGTTCAACCTATTATTTACTATAACTTTGTGAAAAGAAGGTTTTTAAAATTAAAATTAATAAAATGTTGAGTTTAAAAAAAAGGATTACACAATTCTCACACAGTATATTTTGAGTTTAGAAGATGAGAAATTGAAATGCATACACAACATTTCTTTTGGAAAATGATGACATTGTATATAAGACTCTAAATTTTTTAAAACAAGAAAAAAGAGTTTTTCTATATTCTCAATATTGTATTATCATAAGTATTTTCAATTCATTGATTTCATTTAGAAAAGAATGGGAGTAAATTTTCCATAAATATAATGTTTGCGATTACAGTTAACTAAATTTAAACACCAATGATAATAATTAAGAGCTAAAATCATTTTAATATTATGTTAAACTGTTTTATCATTTGCTATTTTAAACGCAGTAAAAAAAGAACTTTTTTGTTTTTTTTTCTTTAGAAACCAGAAGCACTCGTAGAAGGCATAGGAGTAATTCTGGTTATTACAACAACTCAGTCATAATAGTAAAACGTCAAGTGGGCCACCGGAAACAGTAAGAAAATACTGTAAACATCTAAAGTTTAAATGTTATATAAAACAGATAAATAATTTTAGTATAAATACTGTAAACATATTTAAATTATTATTTATTAAAATTATATTATTTTCTATCATTTATTTTTTATTTAAGAAAAAATACGTCTGCATAAACATCTACTTATTTTAGCTTAACAGTAAAAAAATTGAAACAATTCAACTTTCAAAATAGATTATTTTATATTCTTGAAATATCTCAACTAAAATTTATTGAGTTAACATGAATGGTATACTTTTTATAGTCTTAATTTATTTGAAATATCATTATTTTTATCTTAAAAAGTTTATACATTTTTGTTCTTTATGAATATAGTAACTTTTTATTTATTTATGTTTGAACTTTATGTGTTTATATTTTATTTTATTAAGAAGTAAGTGCTCTAAATATTTCATGATCAATTACGTGTTAGTGTTACAATGAATAAAGAATGCGACACTTTCTATGAATATTCTACGAACCCTTTAATGTGTGTGAACTTTTTGAGATTTAGATTCTTGTGGCCATTCTGGAAACTTCATTTTTCAAATTTCTTAATAAAACATTACATAATGCGTATTTTTTTAAATGGTTACAGAAATCTTCTTAATTATAAAATTTATTATAGAATGTTCTTAGTTTGATCAATCTTATTATAGAAAGTTCTAAAAGGCTTTTAATAAATTCTAAGTTGCATTTAAAGGGTCATTCATATTAGTCGATTCACTGAAAACTTAAAGAAAACTTCAAAAAAGTAGGACTTCATTGATAGATTTATTGGTCGTTTTATAATTCTAATTAATTATAATTCCTTCTCTAATCTCATAACTATGGAGTACAATTAAGAAGCGATAAGAAAACTTAAATCAATTTTCAGAAATTCGTAATCTCGTGTTCTTGATAGTAAATATTAAAGTTTAAGAGAAAAAAACAGTGCCACTACTCTAGAAATTGAAGTTCGTCGAAAACAAATCGGAGACGATAAAAAACAAATTAACACATCAGGTTGGCCGCACGCTGCTTCTGCGCCGAACTGGTTCAGATATTAACTACATATTGGAGCAAATACCACAGTATAGTGCATTAAGGAAAAATGAAATTTATAGCCCCAGAAATCGACTTAAAATAGGCAACAGTGCAGTTGAGCTGAACCATTCAGGTACCTACTCTTCTCTGACGAACCAATTTATCACAAGCACTATGATGAATATTTGAACTTTGCGGAATCAGGACCAAACTCATGAGCTGTATTCAAATGGTTGAGGAGGTTGAGGTTCCTCATCCACAGCCATGGCTGATGAAGAACTCTGCAATCCAGTTGCTGACCCACCAGCAGCTGAAGTGGTGGTTGATGAGGGCGTATCAGTGAGAGCAAGAACTTCTGGCTCAGTAGGACGCAAGTCTTTGAGAAGCACAAATCCTGAAGGTGCCAACTTAACTGGAACATATCTGCTGTCCTGCAAAAATTTAATAACCTTCTCCTGCGCAGGAACCACCCTTGCAGGATTAGTCAGAATCTCAAAAGATGACTCGGGTTCTGATTTCTTCTCCGTCGTTGGGCTATCAACCTACAGAAAAGTGAAATTTTAAAAGGTCATCAAGCAAACATATACACATGTGATATGATAGGTCATGGATCTAACATTTTCAAATCAACATTTTAACAACAATTTCTTGTATTCGTAAAATATATATTTTAAGTCATATTTGTAGGACTTGTAAGGTCATTTTATATTATAAATTAGTAATATGTCTAATTGATGTGAGATGTCCAACAAGTACAGTATCACCATTGCAATGAAGAAAATTTTATGCTAAACTCTGCCTACACACGAAAAAAAAAGACTCCAGCCATGAGCTTTCAGGGTCCATTGGATCTCCAGGACCAATCACAGTTCGATCATTTCTTAATAGCAATTTAGCCACATTCGCCGTCCTTACATACCAAGCTTTAGACCTACTTCATAACCACCAAATAAACAAAATCAGTTTCAGAACTGCAATCCACAATCCCTATTCCCTTTACTCAAGCTTTCAGGGACCATTGGATCTCCCGGACTAATCATTTCCTAATAGCAATTTAGCTACATTCCCCATCTTTACATACCAAGTTCTAGACCTACTTCATAACCACCAAATAAAGAAAAGCAGTTTCAGAACTGTAATCCACAATCCCTATTCCCTTTGCTCAAAAGCTATGAAACATGGACAATGACCCGGACACTGACCCGGACACGACACACACCCGGACATGGACACTTTAACACGTGTAATCTCCAAAGTGTAGAACAAGGGGACACGGATCATTATGAATTATTTAAATTAACAATCAATATTAGTTAAATATAATAATCTAAACAAATTGTCACCTAATACAAAAATGAATTTAATTCATCTATATAACATCCAAAAAGTGAAAAGAGGATATAATTTATAATTTAATATATTTCATCCCCTTCTTGGTCATCATTATTGAAAAAAAAAACACTTTAGTCGAGATTCATTTAAAGACAAATTAACAACTTTAAAATCCCACATTATATGGGAGATATGGTAGGAGATTACAATACATATAATCTAAACATTTGTGATCATAACACAATGTCAAAATCGTGTCAAGGACAAAAAAAATGTCTATCGAATTAAACACTTCACTGATAAGTGTTGCTTGAGTAACATACATGTGTCGGTGTCAGACATGAGGACATAACATTAGAGATGTGTGTCCGATACGTGTTAAACATAAGGACATACCATTTGAAAAGTGTGTCCGGGCTTCATAAACTCAAAAGTGTTAACTTTATTCTAGTAAAGAAAATTTCTACTAAGTCCGCACACAATAAAAAATAAGTTACGAATAGTCAAATAATGCTTTGAATTCAGAAACATTAAAGGAAGGCCTTCAATAATTAATTAAAAAACGCATTACCTGCATTGAATCTCCATCCTTTTCACTGGATGACTTCCCTTTTCCACCACTCGGTGCAGATGAAGAGTCAGGAGCGGATGAAATTTCAGCATTTGCCTTCTGCTCTTCAGCTTTCTTAGCCCTAGCTTTAGCCTTAGCTGATGTTGACAGAACAGCAGTGGGAAGCTTCACCGTTGAAGTAGTGGTAGGAACGGTAGTAGGCTTAGGATATTCAAAAAGTGAAGGCTTTGCATGTGACAAGAACTCAAATTTAGGAGATTTCAGGTCATAGTTCAGACCAATAAAAGCTGTGGGGGAAAAAGCCAGGCTTACAAAATAGATAAGAGGGTACCAATACCAAAATTGGCTAAAAACTGCAAGACCAACCACTGCAGTAATTTTATCATGTTTTGTCTTAGAAAGTAGCCTTATGGTCACATTTCTGCCACCAGCATCAAGGATTCCTGAGGCCAAAATTGCTCCCATCTTGCTCATGGTATCCTCGTGCTTGTCAAGGATAATTTTCTCCAACTGTCGCCTAGAGTGCAGGGTATGTCAGAAAATCACAAAATTATTGCCTTGCTGTACAAAATAAATAGGGTGGACTTACCTAAATGTTCCAACTCGTGAGTCACTAGCTTCACTGATCTGAACCATGACCATAGCCATTGCTATAAGAGCACCTTGACGAACAAAATCAACAACATCCGAAGTTAAAGGCTCCAATAAAGAGATAGCCTCACTGAGACCAGTACCAGCACAGGAAATACCCACAGCAAGTGCTGCCCCATATCGAACATGTGGATTGTAAGACTCTGATAGGAGGGAAACAATTCGTGGAGTCTGAAGTAGATAATCATTGCAAATATCAAAAAGATATCCAAAACAACAATAAAGCCACAAAAATGCAATTCAGAACAAGGGAAAATCCAAAGATATAGAACTAACCTGTTCCGGATCAGAGTACAACACAAAACCTAAGGCTAGAACTGCAGTCCTCCTAACATCATCACTCACATCAGATACAGCAAAGTGCAGTAACTGGCGAATTGCCTTATTGTTTGCTGTTCCTCTGTACGCCAAGGCCAATGCATACATGCCACCATAACGCAATATTGGATCCTGATCACGAGTCATTTGCTCAATCAATGTGTCCGCTTCCTCTTCTCTCCCATAAACAGTAAGTGCTATTCCCAAAGCTAGCCCCCTGAAATTATTGAACAGTCATAAGCAAGACAACCCAAATTTCACACCTTGTCATGCAAAAACCATTTACCTAATAATCTTTTCATGTTGGGTCTCATGCGCATAAGTGAGCATCTCATTTGCCTTGTCACTACCAGTTCCAACCATGAGTAAACCCATACTGATACCAGCAGCCTCACCAGCAACAGCACTATCAGTGTAGAGAACGTTCTTTATTTCTTCATAGATATCCTCATCAGCAGTTCCCAATGATGCCAATCCAAGACCTAAACATGCACCATGTTGAATGACCTGCCCATGAAGCTTGCGTTAATTATAACCACAGGTTATTTCTTATTCTACCAAAAGAACATCATAAGCTTTATTAATGAGCACCTCAACACTGGTACTGCGCAGGCTATCACGAAGAAATTGTTTGATGCCCTCTCCATGGTTAGCATGAATAAGACCAAGGGCATACAGAGCACCGCCTTCTGAATATGGACTACCACCACCTCCAGTCCCACCCTGAGGTAAGTAGGGTGCCATCAGTGACCTTCCCTGCTGCAAATGGCCTCTATGGATAACACCGAGACCAGCAGTTGCACTAAATTTGGCCCAGTTAGTAGCTCTGCTCAACCAATCCTAAGATTTTCAAGGGACGATATTCTTAGGATGCGAAGCAATAAAAATATATGGGAAACACAAGGAGAGGGGATAAAGAGAAAATTAGCCTTAATAACCAACCAGATTTTCCCTGAGGAAAGTATCCACAGTTGTTCCAGCATGCATAATTGCATTGGCATAAATTGTGGCACTGTGACAGACACTATTTCTCATCTCCACAGACTGCTTTATTGTCTTCAGAATAAGCAGGTCAGACCTAAATGCAGATTACATAAAAAACAGAATAAGAACAAAGAACAATAATTCTGTGAAACTAAAACCAACCACAAAATGAAGATATGACCTTACAAACTGCCTCACTTGTTATGACTGTAAAGGAACTGCAGAGTCAGTTGTATTGAAGTTTCCCCAGACAAAATTCCCTTTATTTTGTTTAACCTCTCAGCATACATGGTTTCAATTGGATCCTCTGGCACATCAACTGTAGGCGCAGAATCACCATCCGTCATTTGAACATCATCCTGTCCACTCGCACTAGCATTTTGAGTAGAATCTGCGTCACTGGGTTTTGGCTGTGCAGCTTCTGAAGGCTGAGACTTAGCTGGTGATAGGCGATCTCTAACATTTAGAAGAAAAGCTTGGTGCTCATTCTCTACCAAATCAAAAGCAATTTGAAATGCCAAAAGAGCATCATCTTTGTTTTCAGAACGTAAAAGTTTCTCTAGTATGCTTGCAACACCCTCCGGCTCATCCAAGAACATAAGACACTGACAAATACTCAGATAATCTGGTGAAGGAAGCTTTTGAAACACCTTAACAAGAAGACGAAGAACCTAGACAACAAGAACAAGGATCAATATCACCCTTCCATCTTAAAAACTATTATTCACATTTTTATAAGTTGGAGGTCATGCCACAACCAACTAGTCATTAAAGAATAAATTTGAACAACTCAACAACTTTTTCAGTTCATTTTCAAGTACTATTCAGCTGATCTTCCTCTTACTTGACCATATAAATTCATGCATGAGCAAATATTCATCCCATATGAGTACACAAATCATTAAGATGTAAAATTCAAATTATGAAACATAGCCCAGAGAGATATTTCAAAGATAACTAAAACCATAATCCATCTCAATGATATACAACCCTCCAAATTCACCAGATACATACAGTGCTTAGGACTTAACACAAGCAGAAAACTTTCAATTCCCTTACCTCCTGTCTGTATTCCCTAAGGTTAACAAAGGAATGAGAGACATAAATGCAATATGATAGAGTTCCTTGAACATTGTCACTCCTTGTAATTGCCTCCTCTAGTTTATCCAATCTCCTGCATTCAATAGCCGTTCCCATAGCTTGCTGGTATTTTCCATCCACGATACACCTATATTAGACAAAGCAACAAAAGGGAGCGATTCCCAAGGGTTAAGATACATTTGATTTACAGAAACCAGAAGAATGATTATGGCTCACATACTTATCCAACAGTCTCTCCACAATGGCTTCCAACCTTGGGTCCACTTTGACAGATTCATCACTTGACTCAGCTGCCTTCGACTTTAGACTAGCATATTCATCTATGGCCTTAGCTGAAGATAGACGAAAATAAACAAAACATACATTGGAACTTAGGATGGCATGATTAATCATCGTTAGTTATATTCACAGACCACACTTTATATGTTGCCTGCCGAGGGCCATACAGTTGTCTTATAAAAATAAAGACTATAACTCTCACCAAGAAGTGTGTGAACATAATCAGAATCCTCTGAAACATCAAAAAGAGGACCAGCTCCGAGGGCATAGGATAACGAGTCATTAAGTTCACCCAAGTAATAAAAGACCTGAAGAATATGGAGTGATGCATACATAGATCATTAAGATAGGCAATGAAACTGACTTCAGTATCTAGGGATGAAATTTTCGAGATAGGAGAAAGAAAGCGTGTCCTTTTGGTGACTGCTTTAAAAATTGAGAAAGATAATAAAGAGATGAAAGCCAATACTTATTTTTTACATCTCAAATATTGTGAAAAATTATCCCTTTCAAAGAAAAGAATTTTGCAAGAAAAATTGGTGTCCCGCTAATTTTCCATTCGAAGTTGGTTCAAGATATTAACAGATCACAGATACCTTTGACACCAGAAGAGCAGCAAGTTGCCTTTGATGTTGATCAAACTCCTCATCTTCATGCAAACTCTCTCTGTTCGACACCCATAACAAACAAACAGTTAAATCCTCTACATTCCCACTTCTAACCACGCACACTAAATATTCAATTCAAGCAAATAACTTAGATCTTTGAGCAAAATAGGGACCATATGCATTAATAACAAAGTCTACAGATTGCAGAAGAAGATGCAGCTAAAAACATTCCCCTTCCTAGAGAAGCCACGCTTTCAGGACCACGTTGACTCATGGATTTTATCACTATATATGGAAAGGGTGACCAAAAAAATACCCCTTTGGCTACTAAACCGCAATTAAATATAATACAATTGAATTACTACAATTAACCAGTTCTTTATTCTTCTTTATTGGTCAATACACTCAGACAAACTAAAAGCGCGCAGCAATTGAAACCATATTACTTTTGTGTAAACAATACGCACACGCAAAAAAAAAAAACAGAGATCGAAGGAAAAAAGGAGAATGCTCACATCTTAGGCAGACTAGTGGAGATCTCGGGCCAGAAGGTGTCGACCAAGTTGTTGAGGTTGGAGAGCGCGTGAAGCTTGAGCGAGAGGTGGGGCTCGTTAAGCATAGCCAGCATCCCACCTGCGGAACTCACCAAAGTCGTAGCCATGGTTGCGCGAATAGGAACTGAATTGACGAATAATTGCAACAGCTAGGGTTAGGGTTAGGGCTTGAGAATGGTACTTAACGGAACGAGCGATCTGAGAGGGTTGCAGAAGCAATTGCAAAAGGGTTTGGGTTTGGGTAGTTTTGGGAGTGAAATTGAAATGTGTACTTTGTTATATTAGGAGCATCTTCAATTCTTATTCAACACGAAATGGATCAATTAGTCAATTTTCTGTAAAATTTCAATTATTTTTTATCTTTTTATTCGAAAACACCTAATTAGCTAATTTCAGTATATGAGACCAAAATTTGAAAAAGAGGGTTAAGCCTTTATATACATTTATCATAGGTGATCTTGATTTAATTTACTGACAATTTTTTTTTCAAATTTCCTGACAAATAAATATTTTAAAATTCATTATAAATATCTTAATATCTTGAAACAAAACAAAAATGAATGAAGAAAAACAAAGTTAAGAAATAATATATGTTATTATAAACTACTTTATAAAAATATTGTATACCCAACACGTGTAATATAATTTAACAGACATTTTTAATAAATGGATCTCCTGTTTAACAATTTCAATTTATAAATATGCATTATAAAACATAAAACTTAAATTTAAAAATATGTAATCAAAAGTATGAATTAGAAAATAAATATATAGAGTACTTTTAATAATAGATTTTAAGAAATATTTAGTCTGTTATAATACACAATATATATATATATATATATATATATATA